CCCCCCCCCCCCGGACCCCCCTTGGGTCCGCCCCTGTATGTTCATGTATATGCTGCTATAAGGTATGTAAATATTGCACCTCATTTAGGGTTTGAAAATCCTAAAAAATCGCAGCCAAGAATCTCTTAACCTATAGCATCATGTCATTCCTAACTTACTAGCTTACTTTGTTTGGACTGTATCAGTTGGACATTTTTTAGCACATGTTTTGATATTTAAAAATCATTCTAATTTAAGCAAGCCAATAAATAAATAATAAATAGAAATATAAAATAGATTTTACTTAGATATGATATTAAATTATTTTTTAATATGGTCATATCCTATTTTTTCAAAAATAAATTTCGCCTGGTGTACATCTTTTTCTACTTTTGTTTCTACTCAACCTATATGGCAAAAGGATATGACACGTCTAGTTTAACTATAATTTTGTGATGTGCAAAAACATATGTATCTATGTATATAGAGTGAGGGGTTAGAGCGGGTAGGGGTGGTGGAGTTGTTCTTGGTTGTTCTAAAAACGAGAAGAATGCATTCTCGACGTCAAGTTGTTTGGCGGGTAACCCACACCATCCATCAAGTGACCCTCATCATTACCATTTTAGCTTTTAGCAAAATGTCCATAATAATGCAGAGCTGTTCATGACATCCTCAGACCTGAAATTACTTCCAAAAACAACACAAATTTTGGTTGTATTTAATACCAGTATCCTGCCTGGCCTAACCACCAATCTTTGGACTTTTCTCAAACACCACTTGTTTCAGTTCATGGTTTGTAATTAATCTTGAAATAAAAAAAGATAAAGTATTCGTGATTTGAACTTGAAAATGAAGAGATTTGGAAGGTTGAAAAGTTAATTTGTTAGAGATTAATATAGTTTTTAGTCATTTGCATGTGACATTAATTGGTTGTTTTATGCTAAATTAATGAGTTGTTAAGTTATCGAATATGTGTAGTTAATGAGGTAACATTATATGGTTAACAAAGATTTTGGATAAATGAAAAGAGAAATTTCTGTCATTTTCATTCGAAATTATGCAATATTTGAAAATCTAGCAAGAACTCTATATGCTCGTCTTCCCACAGCCAACTGCAATATTTGACTAGAGCTTCGAAGTGGAAACGGTTGTTGCACCACCCTTGGGATTGCATCCCTGCATTCTAACAAGTTGTTAGTTGTTAGGTGGACAGAAATGTGGCCACGATGTATTAACTACAAGGTCGGCAAGATTTTGAGTTCAATAGAATACATCACATGATGAAGTTCAACAGAAGAGAGAAGCTGAGAAAAGATGAAATTACTTCATTGATAAACTTTGATCGAATAAAATAATTACATTGGATAGTGGCACTATTTATAAAAGAAACTATCGGCTAGGAATAACAACTCAAATAACAAGATAACAGAAATTGAGCTAATTGAAACAGAAATGCAGGTGGTTGTAACTAAGTTTCCCTCCTTTCTTTTGCTTTGTTGTTTTCTTCTTTTTGTTTTATTTTCATGCTATCAATTTTAGATTCAATACTCCAACACCCCCCCTCAAAATGGACATGAATATTAATAATGTTCATTTTGCGAAGGTTATGATGAAAGAGTAAAGAACCAAGGGGCTTAGTAAAAATATCAGCAAGCTGGAGCTTAGACGGAATGTGGAAGATCTTGATGACGTTCTGCTGCAATTTTTCTCGAACGAGATGGCAATCAATTTGGATATGTTTAGTTCGTTCGTGTTGAACCGGATTGGTTGCTATAGACAGTGCAGACTTGCTATCTGTATAGAGAGAAGTAGGTTGAGGATGGCTGATTGCCAGATCATGAAGAGCATACAGCAGCCATTGAATTTCACAAGTAGTAGTGGCAAGAGCTCTATACTCAGCCTCTGCTGAAGAACGACTGATAGTAACCTGTTTTTTGGATTTCCATGAAATTAAGGAAGTCCCAAGGAAAATAGCAAAACCAGTGACACTCCGTCGAGTATCGACACAACCCGCCCAATCACTATCGGAGAAAGCCTTCAAATGGAGCTCAGAAGAAGTAGGAAAGAAGAGACCTTGCCCTGGAGTGGCCTTTAAATAGCGTAACACCCTGGTAGCCGCCTGAAAATGACTTAAAGCAGGAGTGGCAAGAAACTGGCTGAAGACCTGGACAGAATAGGCCAAGTCAGGCCGTGTGATGGTTAAGTACAGTAGCTTTCCTACAAGCTTGCGATAGCCAGAAGGATCATGATGCAGGGGAGTGTCAGTAGAAGAAAGCTTCAAAGTGGATTCCATGGGGAAAGCAACAGGCTTGGAGCCAGTGAGCCCCGTTTCCTCTAGAATGTCAAGGGCATACTTCCGTTGACAAAGAGAAATACCAGATTTGGATCGAGCCACCTCCATACCAAGGAAATATTTGAGTTTACCAAGATCCTTGATGGTAAATTTGTCGTGCAGAAAATCCTTTAACTGCTGAATGTCCAGCAAATTGTTGCTTGCCAAAAGAATATCATCCACATAGACCAATAATGTAGTAAAAGAGTGAGCAGAAGACCGGATGAAAAGAGAAGAATCAGAATGGCCCTGTGTGAAGCCAAAGCTGAGTAGGGCACTGGACAGCTTTGCAAACCACTACCTGGAGGCTTGCTTCAAGCCATAAAGGCTTTTTAAAAGTCTGCAAGCATTATGAGCAGCTGAGGTAGCCATGCCTGGAGGTAAATCCATGTACACCTCCTCATGTAAGTCACCATGGAGGAAGGCGTTGTTGACATCGAGTTGATGTAAATGCCAATTTTTGATAGCAGCCACAGCAAGAATCAAACGAATGGAAGAGATTTTAGCCACAGGAGAGAAAGTGTCGAAGAAATCCAACCCTTCCTGCTAGGTGTAACCCTTTGCCACCAGCCGTGCTTTGCGTCGTTCAATAGTACCATCAGCCCTATATTTGATGCGAAAGACCCACCTGCAGCCAATGGTCTTTTTGTTTGGAGGAAGAGTAACCAATTCCCATGTGTTGTTTAACTCCAGAGCAGTGATCTCACTTTTCATGGCAGCCTGCCATTCAGGAAGTTGAGAAGCCTGTTTGAAAGTTTTAGGTTCAAGGGGAGAAAAAATGGAGACTAAGAAGGCTCGATGTGAGGAAGAAAGCTGGTTGGTGGAGATGAATGGTTGTATAGGATACGGAGAACCTGCAAAAGAAGAGTCATCAGGAGAAAAACTGACATTACCTGTTATCGTGGAGCAACCAAAAGAAGGCAAATCCTGGGATGACAATTGAGCTGAAGAAACTGTACCACAGTAATAGTCATGCAAATGTGCTGGAGTATGACGAATTCTGAGTGAAGTTCTGGCTGGAGCATGTTCTGCAGGAGAGTTTACATGAGGATCAACATTTGAAGGTGGATCAGATGGAAGGGAATGCACAGGAGATGAAATAGGAGAAGGAGCAGTATCTGGGGAGACAATAGGATCAGGAACAGGATCAGTTGATTGGGGAAAAGGTAAAGGAGAGAAATCAGGAAAAGGATCTTGTATAGGAAACAAGGGGGAGGGCTGGTCAGAGGGTGAGGGAATATTTCTGAAAGGAAAGATGGATTCATGAAACATGACATTTCTGGAGACAAAGATCCTGTTAGTGTTAAGATCCATGACTTTGTAACCTTTAAAATCAGAAGGGTATCCCAGGAATAAACACTAGCTTGGAACATCAGGGCTCTAGCAGTGCAGAGAAGGTGCTGGTGTTTTCTCTCCACGATGCCATTCTACTGGGGAGTTTCTACACAGCTTTTTTGGTGTAAAATGCCTTGTTTATGGTAGAATTTAGTAAGACAAAACTCAGGGCCATTATCAGACCTTATGATTTTTACAGAAGTAGAGAACTGAGTTTGAACCAATCTATAGAAATTTTTGAGTAAAGAAGGAACGTCTGATTTATTGTGCATCATATAGACCCAAGTGCAACGTGTAAAGTCATCAACTATAGTTAGGAAATACTTGAAATTGGAATAAGATACAGTGCTAAAAGGTCCCCAAATATCACAGTAAATTAAATCGAACTTCTTATTTGATCTGTGAAGTGATACAGAAAATGGAAGCCTCCTTTGTTTTGCTAAGGGGCAAACATCACAGACATGCGTACAATCAAAGGTAAGAGAAGGCTCAAGTTGCTTGAGGTGAGTCAACTTGGAGATGGAAACATGGCCAAGCCTGCAGTGCCAAATGTCTATGTTCTGATGAGTAATGGCTGAAGCAAGAGGTGCAGAGGTGGGTTGATTTTTGTTCTGGAATTGTGGGGAAACTTGGATTAGATGGTACAGTCCTTCCATCTCAACAGCAGTCCCAATCATCTTCCTCGTTAGTTGGTCATGCAAGGTGCAATAACAATTGGTAAATATGAGATAGATATTAGATTGATTGGTGAGTTTAGACACAGAAATCAGATTGAAAGAAAAAGACGGAATACAAAGAACATTATGCAGAAAAAGAGAGTTAAAAAGGCATATAGTGCCACTATGAGAAACCGGAATCTTAACACCATTAGGGAGATAGACAAAAGTGTTAACAACTTGAGGGGTAGAGTAATATAGAGAATGAGAACAGATCATATGATCCGTAGCACCTGTATCAAGGATCCAAGAAAAATTGGAATTTAAAGCAGGTGAAAAGGAACTGCAACATATAGCAGGTCGTGTTTTACCAGAAAATCGAGAAGTTGAAGCAAAATTGACAGTTGGTTGGATGATAGACGAATTAGCTGATGTTGAGGTGATAGAAGAATCAGTTGGTGTTGAATTAGCAAGGGTCATGAGTTTGTGAAATTCCTCTGGAGTGAAGGATAACTTTGGCTGCTCTTTGGTATTCAGGCAGGTAATCTCATTCGTAACTGCAGCATGTGCTGAGGATCTGCCAGAAACGTTTCGTTTTCCTCTTGGCCCTGTCCAGTTAGGAGGGTATCCATGGAGTTGATAACAAGTATCAACTCTGTGTCCAGTGTAACCACAATGAGTGCAAAGCGGTGAGGAAACTTTGGGTCTATCTCTGTCTCTGAATGACTTTGGCTGATAGTTTTGATGATTATGGCGTTGTGCCATTAAGGCGTGTGTCTCAACATGTGAAGTAGAATTAGTGAGCATTCTCTGACTTTCCTCTTGAAGTAATAAGGAGAACACCTTAGCCATGCTAGGCAAAGGAATCATGAGAAGAAGTTGGCTTCTGACAGAGGTAAAAGAGTCATTCAGGCCAACTAGAAATTTCAATACATAATCAGATTGCTGGCGATTCATTAAGAATGTGAATAAATCACAAGTGCAAGCTGTCATTGATCCGCAAGTGCAGGTTGGAAAAGGTCTGTAGCTAATGTACTCATCCCATAAAGTTTTAAAGGAGCTGAAATATTCAGTCACAGACATGGAACCCTGGCTTATGCAGCTTAGGGACTTTTCAAGATGAAAAACCCGTGGACCGTCACTTCTGAGATATCTGGTTTTGAGTTCAGTCCATAAATCAGTGGCTGATGCAACAAATAGAAGGCTATTACGGATATCCTTGGAAATGGAATTCATTAGCCAAGAAAGAACCAAATTATTTGCTCTCAACCAAGCTGTGTGATTAATTGACTGATCAGTAGGAGGAGGGGAGATGGATCCATCGATGAACTGGACTTTATTTTTCACTGTCAGGGCTATAATGATGGATCTACTCCAGGCGACATAATTGCTTCCATTGAAAATTTCTGATACAAGCATTGCACCAGGATTATCACTGAGATGAAGGTAACAAGAACTTGAGGAATCATCTGAGGGATTCATGACTGAATTACTAGAGTTTGTAGTGGGGCTTGCGATAGGAGTGAGAGAACTCATCCTCAGAGAATGAAGTGTAGAGAAAAACCAGCAGCTTCAGAAAAAGAGTCTGAAGGAAACGATCAGGTTTACCAGAAGGAAATTTGCGGAAGCTGAAGCTCTGATACCATGATGAAGTTCAACAGAAAAGAGAAGCTGAGAAAAGATGAAATTACTTCATTGATAAACTTTGATCGAATAAAATAATTACATTGGATAGTGGCACTATTTATAAAAGAAACTACCGACTAGGAATAACAACTCAAATAACAAGATAACAGAAATTGAGCTAATTGAAACAGAAATGCAGGTGGCTGTAACTAAGTTTCCCCCCTTTCTTTTGCTTTGTTGTTTTCTTCTTTTTGTTTTATTTTCATGCTATCAATTTTAGATTCAATACTCCAACATCACAAAATCACTCAACTTAACGACCAAGAGTTTTATGCAAAGTTCTCCGTGTTGACAAAAGTTATAAGCAAACTTCAACAGAATACCAGTTGTGAATGCTCATTAAAAGGATGTTAGTTGGATGATCCAGGACTCACAAAAGCATAGGTTCTAACACAAGTAAAAGTTTAACCATTTTCTCATCGAACAATTTTTATACCCATAACACCATTCATATGTATCTATTGTATTAGATGGATAATCAGATCTGAGGTTAACATATTACTATCAAACCTAATGAATGAAAGAGCCAAGACTAAGATTGCCCACTCAAACATCACATTACAAGTTAATGATATAAAGCAACTGTTCTAACGTACAAGACAGTTAAATAGCGGTTAATAGTATATGTGCAGCTGTGTTTCTTTTAAGTTTCAAGACAACCAGAACTCAAGTGGCCTTCTCGTGTGCAGCTGTGTTTCTTGTAAGTTTCAAGACAGTTAAATAGCGGTTAATAGTATGTGTGCAGCTGTGTTTCTTGCAAGTTACAAGACAACCAGAACTCAAGTGGCCTTTCTCGTGTGCACGGGGAGGGCAGTGGGGGTTACATTGTTATCTTGACCAAATCCTTTTTTTGCTATCCCTCTCTTTAATACCTTGAACTGGATCTCTGCTTGTTTTGTTGTGAATAACAGGCCTTTGTGTAGAGATGGCTGGCTTAGTTATTCTTGAAACCCTGGGAAAAGGTATAGGTGGATCGGATTGTCTACCTTTGTTATCACTTACTGGAGTTGGTACCACCATATTGTTCTCGACTTCACTCTTCCTTCTTGACAATCTTTTCTTTCGAACCTCTTGAAGAGTATTGTGTTCCTTTACCAAAACCGATCCTTGAGTGACCTGGCGTTTTGCCGAATTTAAGCTCCTTAGCATACGGTGCTCAGTCTCATTTGTGATCTCGTCTCTAACAGATTGTTCACGTTCAGTAGGGGTGGATTTAAATGGATTGACAGATTCTGGAATCACCGTGAGTGTCAATTGCTTTTCTCGCTCTCGTACTTTATCTTCGAGTTCCTTGATCTGCAATTAGCATAGGCATATTAGTACTTTTGGCTGCACCATTTCTTTTGATCATACATTTTTTAATGCCCAAAAACTTCTGGTTCACTCGACATTGTTAGACAAGAAACACATTACAGTTAATGAACCGTGCACTTGAGTAAAAACATCAGAGAAGTGAAAATACGCATTAACAGGCACTAGAGTGAGAATGGATGAGAGCTTCACCTTTTGACGAAGTAATGTAACCTCCGGATTCTGTTCCTGCTCTTTCAACTTCGTCTCAAGCTCATCAAACTTAAAAATCCGAGAAAGATATCATTAGAATATGTTTTCCATATCCATACTTATATGTTAATTCAACAATAAATTTTAGCAACCTTGTATTGAAGGATTACAGTGCGAGATTCATACTCTTGGACTTGCTCTTTCAGCTTCTTCTCAAGATAATTAACCTGGTTCACAAATATGATAAAAACTTAATCATGAAACAGTCGCATAAAACTTTCCGTCACCATGAAAAAGCGAGCAATTAAAACAATCCGGGAAAAAAAAAAAAAGTGCTTCCGCAAAGAGTCTAGTCAGAGAACCTTTTCCTGGTATGCTGTAGACTTAGATTCTTCTAGATCTTTGAGCTTGTTTTCAAGATCTACTACCTTCATCAAAGTTCAGATATATTATGAGAACAAATATTAAGAAAAATTTCAACCTATTAACATACTACTGATCGTCAAAGAAAGGCACCTTCTGTTGAAGTCTCTCACAAGTTTCTTCCTTTCCCTTTAACCTCTCCGAAAGATGTGAAATTTGTTTCTCGGATTGGCTGTGGAGTGATGTCTTTAGCTCGAGCTGGCCTTCTAACTCTTTTATCTTGTTTAGTTGGTTTTTGTAAATCTGATCCTTCCCTTTGGCCTTACTTTCTAGGTTTTGTAAGCTCTCTTCAAGGGTTTTCATAGCTTCGTCCTTGGACCTAGATTCTTGTCTTGCTTTATCGAGCTGAGAAAGATTTGGAAACAAATGAGCAACAAACCAAAATGAGATCAGCATAGATAATGAATATATTAACAGAACGTTTGATTTGGGATTGCCAGACATACCATCATTTTCATCTTTTGGAGCTCACCGGTATCAACTTGCTTTCTAGCGGGACCCAGTTCAACTCCTCGAACTCGAGTTGCAAAGTTAAGTGAACTCAGTGTTTCACTTAAGTCGTGATCGGAAGGACTAATTTGAACAAACATCAAAGTTTTTGAGTCACCACCTATAATAGCGAATTACCTTGTTCCGTTAGAAAATATGGAACCGATATAAGAATGAAAAATAATGTCGTTACCTAACGAATCTTGAAGTAGATGAGTCAGCTTGGAGTTCCTGAAGTTACAACCACAACACATTAAAATCTGAATGTTAGTGTCTCGGAGCCGCTGGAACAAATTAGACGTAGAAGATTAAAGAAAACCTGTAAGGTATGTGGCTGCTTTTATTTGCCAAGGCAGATATAACATCTCCAAGAGCTGAGAGTGACCTATTGATGTTTTGAGCTTCCTTGAGCCGCTCACCTTGCACATCGGTCTTTGCGAGCCGCTCACTTCCTGCCAAATCTACAAGCCAAAGCTTGCTCTTCGTGGACTCTTCCGTGATCAAATTCTTAGCTCTTACCATTATAGATAGCATGCTGAGAAAAGATGGCGAACGTATTCATAAGGAAAAAATCTGACAATTAGGGCATATTTGGTAAAGTAGACTAATCAATATGGTATAGTAACGAAGAACAATGAGCTAAAATCTTTTCCATGATGCTCTCTAGTCTTGTATTGTGTACCAAACATAATAACTTGCACTACAGTAAATACACACTGGACAAGCAACAAACTGAAATGGCTGCGAAAGCTGTTTACCAGTGAGAACGACTGCTATGTTCGTTCACATTATTTGATCCAACAGCTCGAGCACTACTACCAGCCTGCAGAACATTCCACACTTCATTTATATTTTCCACTTTGGCTTCCACAATCCCCGGGATATGATGAAACCCTTCTGAGGCTTGCTTTATCTCTAACCTGGAGTTACCCAATGAAAAGCAGTCCATTTCAAAAGTAAAGCTAAAACATTTTACTAAGTTCGTACTATTTTAATGGCATGTTTGGTTAGGTGGGGTTAGAAAGTACTTGACAGCGCTAAAGAGGAAAAAGAATAAAAAAATTTCTCCATTGCAATGTCAAGTTCAGTCCAATATTGTATAACGTCCACTAGATGCATGTAGAGTGCATAAAAGAACCACAAGTTTACTTCTTGGATGCCGATGTAGCCAGCAGGTCCCTTATCTGCTCATTGTAGACTTCAAGTACACTAACTGAAATGCTGTAAGCAAAAGTTTCACTCCTCTCACTGGCAATTTTAAACAATTCTTCCAATGTCCTATAATTCACTCCTCGGTTAACCTCAGTGCCTTCCATTGTGAACGTCTTGCCGGTTCCTGTTTGTCCATAAGCAAATATACAGACATTGTACCCATCTAATACTGAAATCACCAGAGGCGAAGCATCGGCAAATACATCAGCTGTTTAATGAAAAGACCGAAAGTTTAGCATAGAGACAACTTGTAACCACAATAATATATATCTCTCCAAAAGCTTGATAATTTCTCTTTAGACGAGAATTATACGTCAAACAAAGTAGAGCACCTTGACCATCTTTTGGTGAGTAAACACGGTCAAACTTGAAAGTTTTTTTTGTAGATCCACTAAGAATTCCAAGTTCTCCATCCTTGGCCGCATCAAACTCCACAACTGATGCACGCCCGGATGAGACCTCTGACTTGCTTAATGGACGGCAGCGGCAGAATACCCGAATATTTCCTGATGTTCAAAGCTAAGCTATCGTTAAAATCATTCAATGATTTGTCAAACTGAATAAAAAAAGGTTGCAAACCTTTTGTCTCCTGAACTTGATTATAAAGCTTTCTTCTCTTCATTTGCTCTTCATTGTACTTCACTTTGAAATCCTCGCACTGTTCAACTACAAAGTGATCTGTATTACATTACACTCCCTACATGTAAAAGATTATTGAATTTAACTTGATAACAACTTACCCAGTGTCTGAACTGCAGAGACCATTTTGTTCAGATCGGGAATGGAATCAGCGCATTCATGTGCTTCACGAGAAAGCTGCGAATGATCTCGTTTCATCACCTATATAACATATTTCAGCATGTTATTTATACACCAAGGAATTTTTTTCTTATTTGAACACTATTTTCTTCTGAAATTGTAGAAGAAAACAATACTAAATACCTTTACTTTATGCTGTAGATTATTGATTGCCACAGACCAATACTTCTTCTCATTCTCATATTTCTTTGAAATCGCCCCAAGCTTGTCAGCTTGCTTCTCCAGAGTTTGATCTATTGAAAAGGTAAAAATACTTAAAACTCAGATAACTTTGCATTTAGAAGGCCTGCAACATCGTTGCAAATTACTTTGTATTTTCAAACCTAGCTATTCCATTGAAAATGTTTACAGGTCATCCTTCATTACAAAGGAACATAAGCAGTGGAAAATTAAGACCCCATTATCCAAAGAAAACAAGGAAATCATGAAAAAAAAGGCATCCAATACTCTTTGTAAATTATTCTGACCCTGAAAGTCTCTATCTAAGAAGCAGGGATACTTATAAACTCATTAAGTACACGTATCCGATACGTATCCAAGTTAAAAATACTTAAAACACAGATAACTTTGTATTTAGAAGGCCTGCAACATTGTTGCAAATGACTTTGTATTTTTAAACCTAGCTATTCCATTGAAAATGTTTACAGGTAATCCTTCATTACAAAGGAACATAAGCAGAGGAAAATTAAGACCCCATTATCCAAGAGAAACAAGGAAATCATGAAAAAAAGGCATCCAATAGTCTTTGTAAATTATTGTGACCCTGAAAGTCTCTATCTAAGAAGCAGGGATACTTATAAACTCATTAAATACATGTATCCGATACGTATCCAAGTTAAAAATACTTTAAACTCAGATAACTTTGTATTTAGAAGGTCTGCAACATAGTTGCAAATTACTTTGTATTTTTAAACCTAGCTATTCCATTGAAAATGTTTACAGGTAATCCTTCATTACAAAGGAACATAAGCAGAGGAAAATTAAGACCTCATTATCTAAAGAAAACAAGGAAATCATGAAAAAAAGGGCATCCAATAGTCTTTGTAAATTTTTCTGACCCTGAAAGTCTCTATCTAAGAAGCAGGGATACTTATAAACTCATTAAGTACATGTATCCGATACGTATCCAAGTTTGGATAGTCTTTGATACCCTTCATCCTTCGATACGTATCAAATACATATTTTTTTAAATTTCCAATATGTATTGGATACGTATTTTAATTATTTTCGTATGTATTTCTTAATTATTTTAATAGCTTATTGAGCCCCTGTTTGGGCTCCATTTTACCAAGAAAATGCATTTTGGAATAGTAAAAAGTTGGAGAATGTGTGGTTGAAAAATAATTAAAATTTTTGGGTTTGCATATAAAATTATTTTATAAAAGAATGTATGATTGAAAATGAGTATTGAAAAAATGAATTTTGAGAATAATGGGGCTCAAACAGGAGCTGAATATTAATAATATTTATAGAAAATATACGATTAGTTTATCAAGAAAATAGATCTATATTCAAAAGTAGAATCCAAAATGTGGGATATCGTCGATACCTCATTTGCTACTCTTCAAGGTGTTGGACTACTTGATGTTGCTAATCTATAATTAGATGAGCTAGATTTGAATATTGTTATTTTTAATGACAATGAAGAAGCTAATGTTGAAGAAAATGAAATTTAGACAATTAAGGATTAAGATAAATTACTTTAGTATATTATTTTATTTTATTATTATGCTTCAATTTTAATATATTTTTAATGAAATTATGTTGAATTTTATAAAATGTATCTGCGTATCCTAATTTTTTTAAAAAAGTCATATATTGGCGTACCTGTATCGTGTCGTATTCGAAATTACGTATCCGTATTTGTGCTTCTTAGGTCTCTATTCAGTAGTATCAAGTATAATTGGCTCCAATATAAAAGATAACAATCATAGCTATATTCTTCATGAAAACGTAGTCTTTGACATTATCTCTTCCCATTACTATTTCTTATTCCTCAAAAGGACTTACTTGATCACCCTTCTATTTTCATTCTTCTTTTCCATTTTTCTTTTACTTGTTATATCTGGCAAAATCCGGTATTATCATTCTAAAACTTAGATGCTCATGTTCAAAAGCAGAATGCAAGAAGCTAACTAAGTTCAATTTATACAGCGCGAATAAACCTGACAAATTATCACATTAGAAGGCTGAAAGTCAAGTTGTGAGCAAATCAAGAGGAAACATTATAATCTATTCAATTCATAAATGAGAAAAGATTATGCACATTTCGAACACAGAGGAAAACTTCAAAAGTAATGTTCAACATAAAAAATAAAACAGTCTCGCACATTTCCATAATTTGTGGATATCTAATCTAAATGAAACCAAAAGACACTTTGAGTCCCTTCATGTGCAAAATATCAACCATGCTCTCTCCAAATAAATTTTAAAAACAAAATATATAAAAGTTAGAAATTTTTCAATTAAGGGCTTGTGTGGGAGGGATTAAAATCAGATTAAAATTGAAAATATAGCCGTTATTGTTGACTTTTATTAGACGAGTGGGGTCCAATAACGGCCATATTTTCAATTTTANTTAGACGAGTGGTGTCCAATAACGGCCATATTTTCAATTTTAATTGGCTTTTAATCCCTCCCGAACGGGGCCTAAATCTCACCAAGGGTATATCTTTGGAATGTCTTGTTGTCGAGTTCCATCCTAACCTTCTCTAGCTGCTCGTTAGTAGCTGTCCAAGACATCCAAGATTGATAGCATTCATCTGTCTTGCGCTGCAACTTTTCACTCAGCTCTTGTATCATTTTCTCATACTTGGCTGTTGATTTCATTCGCACTTCTTTTTTCTGCATGCTCCAATTATCATTAAGTAATAAGAAGTTGCAAAACTGTAAAATTAGAGATTACGGAACTCATGTCCTTGCCCTTAAATTACTGCATGCATAAGATCAGTTGTAACATACCTGAGCTGATGAATACTTTATCTCGGTTGCACAGTTATTGCATACAAAATATTCACGATTAACGCAAGGGACTGCAACCAACGAGAGAGAATTAAAGATATCTCCTTTAAAATCTCAACCTTTATCGCAGAGTTTAACAGCAAAGAAATACCTGACTCTCTAGGTGGTGCCCTCCTAACACATATGCCACTGACTACAGGGCTTCCAATTATCCCTTCAAACCGTAACACGAGCAGCCCATCATCCTTAATAGAAACTCTAGCATCAACTAATTGCAAAGGTTTATTGGAACCAACAATTGAGAAGATATCAAAATCAGATAAAATCTGCATTTAAGATAACCCCAAGTTATAAACAAAGTCATGAATATTTTAGCATTACAAATAACAAAGCAATAGAAGCTATAATCAACCAACTTGCCATTTCATCTTGCACAAAAACATTGAACATCCGCATCCCTTTGGGCCCATATATATTTATTAATTCAACAAAATGAAGATCCAGAAAGTAATCTCCATGGGGAAGACCATCAATGCAGTAGCGAAATTCTCCCAATCTTGCTGATTGATAAATGAATGGATAGTCTCCACCGCTACTGATTAATTCCTCAGTTTGAAATGTATCTCCCCCTTCAAAGAATTTGTCGCCCAGAAATCTTATACCAAAATCTGGTTCAATTGACTCCTTGGAACCAGCATTAACAAAAAGCACGATTTCCTCTATTTCAAGAAACCAATGTGATGAAATCAGAACCATGATACACAGTACATCTTATACATTCATCAAACTCACAGAAAACGACATAAAAGGAATTTTAGTAGGCTTAAAAGCATGAAAAATAAAGGCCAATTTCAAAATTTTCCATCTACTTTTTCTTGTTTAGCTGAGCAACAAACTCGTAGACCAAAAATTGACAACAAAAATCAGCAACCTACCTTAACTCGTGAATAACCATTATCTCATAGAATGACATCAATTATATAATTTATTTGATAAAAAACCCTGATCTTGATTCTGAGATGTCGTAGGTCTAAACATCATGTATAAAAGCCAACCTGAACAATTAGGTTTTTGGACTCCATTCGGGACTAATCTTGAACCAGAATCGCAGACCATTGAATCAGCTAATGACTCTGAACTTTCATCTTCTTCCATGGCCGAAATTTCACTTTCTTGATTCAAGATTTTATCTCCTTCACAGTAAAAATTGCTGGAAGAAACAGATGGATCTGGGATTTGGATTTCTGGGTTTTGACCTAAGGGGTTGATTTGAACGTTCTCCATGAATTTCTGTGCTCGTGAGTGAGAAAATTTTCAATTTTGCCGAAGAGAAAAGCAAATGGCTTCTTTTGGCAGTGGGAGAGACTCAGTGTGTGGAATAGGTATTTCCATGTGTTTTGTTGTTTGAATTTGAATCGCGTGACCGTTTAAATATGGGAAACTGACCCCTGTTTCGGCTCCATTGAGTCCCTATTTGATACAATTATTGAGAGAAAGAATAAGGGTGTGTTTGTTTGTGTGTAGAATATTTTATTGGGTGAAAGTGTGGTGAAGAATCTTATTGTAGCAAATAATTTTTTGAAATAATGGTAGACAAACAAGGACTAAATTCTACAATAGCGATTGATATAAGAATATGTTGTTAAAAAGTAATGAGAATTTTGAATTTATGTGTAATATTATTTTATTGATGAAATGTGTGGTTGAAATGAAAAAAAAAATGAAAAAGATAATGGGAAGAAAATGGGTGTCAAACAGGGCATAAGTTACATGTAAACAACTTGCTACACGGATATTTTATAGAAACTCAAAAGGAGAGTGACGTGTCGGTGAAAGGAAACGGTTTCTGCCGCGCATCACATTTAAGGCGGTACTAAGGAATGGTTTCCGCCGTGCATCACATCTAAGGCCTCGCCTTAGTACCACCTTAGTGCGCCTTTTAGAACACCGGAATAAATATTTGAATTTAAAAAATAAAATAAGAATTTGAAAAAATAAAATCTAAAAAAATAAAAAAAAAAACCTAAAAAAAAAAAAATCTAAAAAAATAAAAAAAAAAACCTTAAAAAAAAAAAAGAATTAGAAAAATTTCTAGAAAAATAAAAATTATAAAAAAAAGTCCAAACTCTACATAAAAATTCTAAAAAAATATATTTAAATGAATCATTAATTTTTTTTCTATATTTTGAACTCAATTTATTATTTATTTTTATTTTACTTTTATAGTGAGAAAAAAATATTGTAAAATTCATCAACTTTAAAATGTATATATTACTTAATAATATATTAATATAAAATTGTTCTATTTTTTTACTGAATAATCAACTTTAATAGAATTATTGAAACAATTTTTCAAATTTTCAAACCAAAACATGTTTTTTAGTTTTCTATTTTGAGAAATAATTTTTCAAAATGATAAATCTACCATGGTTTGGTGTTTTGATGATCTCTACTTTATTGACCCCAATTTCTGTATTTATTATTGCCTTTATTGCTGCTCTTCTAGCGTTTTTAACAATTTAAAAACAGACTCTTAGAATGGAAAATTAAAAATGATTCAAAATTGAAAACTGAAAATTGGAATATAAACCAAATGGTTCCTTACTATTCAAAACTCTATTTTTCTCAAAATAATGGCATCAAACTACGGCTAAAATGTGTTTTGGGTGATATATATTTTGAAATAGTGATTTTTTTAAGAATGTATGGTTAAAAACAAAATAAATTTTTGACTTTACGTGTAATATTATTTTATTAAAGAATATGTGATTAAAAAGAAAGAGAGAAAAATGCATATAGAATAAAATGAACGAACGTAGGCTGATATTTGGAAAAATGACCATTTCAAAAAGGGTATATATTCTTGTTTTATTCAAGACATTATGCTCATGTTTGAGATTTCATTATTTAAAAATTATTTTTTTTCGAACTCATTTTTAAACACATATTTTTTAATAAAATAATTTTATATGTAAAAATTAAAAAAATTATATTTCTAACCGTACATTCTTCAAAAAATTTATTATAAAATTTATTTTTCTAAGAAATAGAGCTCAAACAAACCCTATATATTCACATTATTTAAAACTATTTTTTTTACTAAATAGACTACAATATTAAGCCCATGTTGAAAATCATTAAATAATTTTTTTGGGAAAAATTAATTTTAGAATAGTGATTTTTTGAAAAATGTGTAGTTAAAAATCAGGAAATTTTTTAATTTTCGTGCAAAATATTGTATGTGAAAATGTATGATTAAAAAAAATTGTTTTAATAGTTATCAAAGAGCGCCTAACTAAAAAATAAAATATATGGGAGACACTCTCTCAGATACCGATACATTTTCTCTCACTATTTTTATTTATAACTCCATCAATTGAATTTATACTAATGAAGAAACAAGAGAGATGGGATAGAAACAAAGGAAAGCAATATACAATCTTTTTTTTTTCCCATTTATGCTTAAGTAAAAAAAAAAAAAAAAAAGAAAAATTGGGGAAAAAGGCAACAAAAATGAAGAGAAATACGCGACAAAATCGCAAATTTTATCTAATCTTCTTTGTTTGTATTCATTAACTTCTGATTATGGCTATTTAAGGATTTTAGAATAGTGAGTCATTACCAAAAAATAGGAAGAAAGATAAATTATTTTTCCTTTATTGCGTTATTTTTTCTGAGATTTTAAGTTATTTTCTATGCTTATTTTTTTAATTAAAAAATGTGTCTTTTTTCTAGAATTAAAATCACTAAATTATTTAAAAGTTTTTAAATATATATATATATATATATATATATATATATATATATATATATATATATTGTTGAAAAATGGTTGCTAAACTCTGCAATTTGTGTCAATGTAAGTCACTCTTTCCCATTCTCGCTAGTTTTTTTTCTTTTTTTTTGAAAATGAAACAAATTAAATTTCATTACATTACATTAAAATTTTCTTTCTCTTCATTACAACTACACATTCATCAAATAAAATAATATTATACACAAATCTAAAAAATTTCACTACTTTTCCACCACACATTCTCCCATCAATCACTATTCCAAAAATTCTCAACCATAAAAAATGCACAATAATAGAGGCCAAACAGGGGCTAAGTGAATTTACTGATATTTTTAGTAAATAGAAAAAAGTTAAAAAGTGTGGTATAACAAATAATAATTTTGGTGACAATATAGCCACTCTTGCCAAAAATATTTGCAAATATCTCCAACAATGGAAATAGACCAAAATATCATCTTCTAAAAACTTGTAAACTTTTGTGAATAGGGGCAAATTTTAAAAACCCTAAGCAGACACCCCTACTCTCACCTACGTTGTCGACATCACCATATACAATAGATTGTCTATAGTTTGATCACCACTAACTTCAACACCGTTACGTAAACCTCCACTTCCCGAATTTCATGTCGCTACCCTTTCGCAATGCCACCTTCCATCATCAACACCGCCGTAGCCTCATCCTCCACCTCCCACGCCACATCACCTTCCCCCTCCGATACCATCATACCACATCCCATCCCACACACCTCTCCATCCATACCATATCCCACCTAATTTACACTATACCATCTTCATCCTAGTAAACCCCTCTCTATTGAAGAAATATCCCACTTCCTTTCTTCTTACTTAAAAAAATTCTAGCTCTTTCCTTATCCTTCCTTTCTTGTTGTCTATACCGTATTTTACCCACTCGACATTTGGTTGTCAAGAGAACTTAGATCTCGATAGCCAAATTTTTAGAGGTGGTGGATCTCAACTTCATATTACCCACTCAACATTTCGTTGTCCAGAAAATTTAAATTTGGACAACCAAATGTCGAGTGGTGGTAGTAAAGAAGAAGATGTGGGCAAGGAAAATAAGGAGGAGGGGGAGGAGGAGAAAGAGAATGAGAATGAGAAGAAAAGGAAGGACAAGGAGAAGTAGAATGAGAAGTGGATAGATAAAAAGGAAAAGAAGAAGTAGAATACGGAGGATAATGAGAAGGAAAAGAAGGAGAGAGGGATGAGGAGAGAAGAAGGAGAAGAGTGAGGAAAGGAAGACGAAGAGGAGGATGAGGAGAAGAATGAGAGAAAAGAAGAGGGAAAGTAGGAGAGGAGAAGGACAAAGAGAAGAAAGAGAAGAATGAGTAGAAGGATAAGAATAAGAAAGAGGATGAGAAGAAGGAGAAGGAGGAGTAAAAGAAGATGAATGTTGGGTATACGACCAAAGTCCCACATTAGTTAGAAGTGGGGATGATCATGGGTTTATAAGGATGGACAAATATCTCCATTGGTATGAAGTCTTATGGGTAAAGCCCAAAAGCAAATCCATGAGGGTTTAGGTTCAAAGTGGACAATATCATACTAATGTGGAGATATGTGGTGTCCATAACCCAACAAGTGGTATCAGAGCCAAACCCTTGATTTAGCCATGTGGATGAATTTCTCGAAATGCCGAACGAAGGTGGTGAGCCTCGATCTGCTAGCGATGGGATCCGTGGATGAGTTCTATTGGACAGGCTATGTGCTCCGGATGCTTCATGGACGTGTCCTGACCCCAACACGGTGAAGAGGAGTTGATCTAGATAGAGCAAGCTGTCAAGACGAGTGGTATTCCATGTAAGGCGTGTGCCTCAAACGCATTGGAGTGGAGAATTCTGGTTGGTAGAGAGTGGATGGATGGATGGATGATCGTTTGAGGGGAGGCTTGATGGTCCTTTGTTCGAGGGGATGATTGTTGGGTATAGGACCAAAGTCCCACATTGGTTAGAAGTGGGGATGATCATGGGTTTATAAGGCTGGGCAAATATTTCCATTGGTATGAGGCCTTGTGGGGTAAAGCCCAAAAACAAATTCATGAGGGCTTAGGTCCAAAGTGGACAATATCATACTAATGTGGAGATATGTGGTGTCCATAGCCTAACGATGAAGAAGAAAGAGAGACATGAGAAGAAGAAGAAGAAGAAGAAGAAGAAGAAGAAGATGAAGATGAAGATGATGATGATGAAGGGAAGGGAAGGAGGAAAAGGAGGAACAAGTAGGAGAGGGAAGCAAAGCACTGCCATGGAGGCGAAGTCCATATTGCAGGGGTAAGGTCTCTATACTTAAAAGGAAATATAGTTGCGGAGATGAAGTCCCATGTTTCAAGGATGAAGCCAATTTACTTCGGAGAAGCATAGTTGTAAAGGTGAAATTCCAATTTTCAAAGATGAGGCATATTCACTTAAGAAAAGCATAGTTGCATAAGTGAAGCCCCATTTTTTAGCGATGAGGCCTCTGCAACTAAGTGATACGTTGGATCCGAAGCCATGCCTCTAGTGTGAAAAGACTTTGAGATAGGATGCGTGCCAATGATTTGAAAGTTTATGATTTCAAGAGACGACAGCTGAGCCGTTGCTTGGTTTCAATGCACGCGTTGCATAGACAATTAATGGTAATGATAACCTATGTCTTGATGTATTCTGATGCCTCTACACGTGTGTAAAGTGCACGACTTCATCTTGACCCTCCATTTAAATTCAAAATGGCAACTTTGGGCACCAATGTTTTGGATTAGCTTGATAGATGGATGTTCCATATCATTCTTAATTTAATCTAATGGCTGGGTTGGTGAGGTAATGCCTATAAAAGGGAGGATTTCTTCATTTCTCAACTTCTTACTTTGACGTTTTCTAAAAAAAAAAAGTTCATGGCACCTCTGCTAAGTGAAAGGAGGGAAGCGTACTACGACTAACATAGCCCCTGTTTGACCCACATTATTTTTTCATTCTCATTCTTCTACTCCTTTTCAACCACACATTCTTCAATAAAATAATATTTTTCATCACATCAATAACTTTTCCTTCATTTTCAACCACATATTCCACATCACTTCACTTCAATTCAAAAAAATGCATTCTCTCATTTTAATGTGCACCAAACATGCTCTATAATAATAGAATCCCGGGGTAACTAACATATTAACACAACTCCACAGAATAAAATAAGAGTCAAAAGTCCAGATGTTTCCGTCGCCTGATAGAATCCTAAAAGTCTAACCTACTTTCCTAAAAGAATCTTTTTTTTTCTTAATGTTTCAATGATTGACTTAACCTGAACAGACTTTTTTTTTTAGGAAGATGCTACATGTACTACATGGAGTACTACATGGGTTACTACATGACCAAGTGGTGGCACCCTATTGGAGGGTCGGATGTGGGGCCNAATATATTTACGAGAGTGTTCTCAACTAAAATTTTGATGAATTTAAAAAGATAATAAATCTTAATGAATTTCATGGATTTGAGGAGTTTTCCACAAATTTCATAAGAATCTCATCAAATATGATGAAATTTCAAAAGATTTGATTATATGTATTTAAGCATGAAATCCATCCAAATCTTTTAAATACTTTACTAATGAAATATTTATAAATTCACTGGTTATTGAATATATCAAAATTTTAAAGGATTTCATTGAATTTCATTAAAATTGTAATCGGGAACATCTAAATTTTAATGAATTTAATTAAAATTCATTAAAATCTCAATTGAAGATGCCTAAACTGAGAAGGATTTTTAAAATCCATTACAATCTCAATTGAAGACTTGGTTGTGAATGAGGTGGAATGAAAATATTAAAGTTGGTATTTGATTCAAACTGGAAAACATAATAGAAGATTATTATCAGTAATCACCAAATATTTTTATTTTTTAATTTTTGTTTGTGCATCGTCAGAAATTAAAAAATAATATAATGTTTTAATGTTTGAACATTGAGCAAGAACATAAAGAGAAGCACAATAACAATTTGAGAATTCGAAAATTCCGTCAGCCAAACTGTTGTAATTGAACTTGATATTGTGATCTGGCTGTACTTATTCGAGGAGATATATTTTTGGAAGATAGCAATTTCACTAATATTATTTTCTTTCAATTAGGGTCCGTTTGATTGCAAATGTGGAAAATGGATGGAAAGAAAATGAATTTTAAATTGTCTAAAAATTGTTTTACTAAAAATTGTAATTAATTGTGTTTGATTTGTATAACTAGTCTTTCACCCGTGCGATACACGGTGCGATGCATAAATTTATATTAAGTGATAAACAATTCTAATATGAGCAACATATGCTAATTGATTTTCCAATCCAGTTAGATACAAAACACTTCATAAAATTAACTTGCGAGTGAATGTGTAATTTTAAATAAAAATATATACACCACATAACTAATTCAAATTTTGAAAAACTTCTTTGAAAACAAAAATTTTTTTATGCTGAAAAAAGAAAATTAAATTTATTCTCCTTCTCTCTTGCAGGATCCAGAAGATCGCATACAAATTCTTAAAAAGAACGCCGAAATTACAACATTCGTGATTTATAAATATATTTCTACTTAATTTTTTTCCTGTGCAAAATTTTGTAATTGATCTCTTTGAATAGGTTATATAACATAGAAGTAATAACATTAACCACAACAATTTCAAACAGACCAAAATAATAATAATAATAATAATAAT